CTGATGTTGCTCTATATATATCCCTAATGCATGTAATTTTAATCCTCTTAGCTACTAGTGGAATGACAGTCCTACTACAGAGGAATCACAAATATGCTATTAACAGTCTTGTTTTAAAAACCTGCACCTTAAATCTCACTTGAAGCTGAAACTTGACTCTTTTGGCCCCAAACTTACCAATTTGGCACCTGCTTCCTTGAGCCTGAAATAACTGACAGTCACAGCCACCTTCCTCTGTGCAGGCTGCTCCATTAAGGCACTCCTGAGGACATGAACCTGTAAGCAAGCATAGCAGCCTTTTAGTAGGTACAGGATTTTGCAAACAGGTTGAGAGATCCACATTAAATCTATTTATTGTTAAATCATAAGCAGCTATATTAGCTAAGAAAATTAACCAACAACAATCTCCAGCTTTTAACATTTACTTAATTTTATCCTTTGTGTTCCTTGGTTAAAAGAGAAGCAAGGTTCTCTCTCGTTTGGTTTGAGACTTGTAAACTAACAAAGGAGCAAAAGGTCAACCTCCTCCCAGCAAACAAAAGGTCAAGTTCCCATGTAAAGAAACCAAATCCCAGTCCTGCTGATCTTGAAATAGACAGGACACAGATTATTCTAATTGACTAAATTCAGGACAATTTATACATATGTTCAGCTCCTCCCTCCTAAGCATTACAGCAAAGGCTACATTCAGCTTACGAACAGTTCAGAATATGTAATTTATGGAGTCAAAAGCAATTATAAATAACCTTCCCCCCATGCTAAAAAAAAGTCGATTAAAAGGTTATTTCTGCTTAAGAGGTGACTGAAGTCAGAGACTTAAGATTCCATGGGAATAGCTTGGTTTATGTTATAATTAGTAATTGTTTCCAAAAGCAGTTTCATTAAAGGGTTTTATAGTCTGTTTGGAAGCTAAAACCTCATGGTCTTCTACTAACCATTCACTGAGATGGGTCTAAATCATAGTTCCTCAAAAGTGGAGAAGAAAGGTAGTCCCAAAGCAAAACTTCATCAGGTTTTGCAGATAGTTCTTTCCTTCTTGGAGGAGGATTAAAACCCCAGATACAAATGCTTACAGTCTTGCTGGCAGAGATTAAAAAAGCATTGCAAAAAGCAGGAAGTTAATGAAATAAACAGGCCCTTCCACTCCCAATGAAGCCATGGTAAAGCTGCTAGTGACATTAAATGGGAACAAAATGGGACCTTTACAGTAAAGCACACCCAGAAGTTACCAATGATTAAGAACATCAGCCTTCACGGTGAAAAATCCTTTCCATGCTCAGTTTTCAATTTTTTTCCATTTAAGAATTGCTTTCCAAATATACACAGATACTCTGAAAATACTGACAAAGCAGAAAATACTGTTTATAGAACAGCATTAATGTGGAAAATTTCTTTGTTGTTGTTAGAATTGTGAGCTGCAAAATTACATATATTCATTTACTTGGAAAAACACAACAGAAAGCACCTACCCAGCCACACATATTTTCCAAGAAGGATACCAAAGTTTGGTTGCATACAATGAACTTTTCTGCAAAACAATTTCTGTAACTTGGACCTGCTTCACATGTTTGTGCAATGCTGAAAACCCTCCAGGAGCAGCTGTGTGCTCATTGCCTGAGCACCCCTGTCCCTTCGCATAACCATTTACACGCCTCTCAGACATACTTACATCCTCTGCCAGGGCCAGAAAAAGTGGCAGAAAAGAAAAATTGCAATGGAACTAAACTTTAAAAAAAATCAAAGGATTGGCTTAGTTAGCTGTTCCAATTTGATTGTAAGGCATTATTTTGAAAGTACAATTTTAACAGGAATTTTCCATGATTTAACATGGATAGAAAGATAAAATGAGACAGGGCAGGGTTTTATAGGGGACATAATGAGGAGGGGTTCCACAACCCATGGTAACACAGGAGAACTGGTAGGAAGGCAGCATTTTCAGGACCATCTCTCCTCCCGTGGGTGAGGAGCATGGCACTGACCTCCTGGCAGGCTTCGTGTCAAGGCTCCATGAAGGTGGGACCGAGGAGAGGCAGCTTGAATCTGTCAGAGAAAGGTAAGAGCAAAATCAGGTTGTTTGTGCTTTACAAATGAGCCCATACAAGCCTGAAGCCTTGCAACCTAACATTGGATTGAGACTTTTAATACAGAAGAGTAATTTGCGGTTTGGCCAGCACATAGCACAGACACAGATGCTACAGGAGGGATTGGCAGCCTGAGCCAGTGTGAAGACAGTGACTGCAGCAACCAGCACTGTGGGGAGGGGAAGGACCGCTTTGGGGGTGATGGGAAAGGGTACAGCTGCACTGTGGGATCACCACTGGCCTCCTCTCCATGCCCTCCAGTGCCAATGAACCAGTGGGGCTCCACCTGAGAAGTTTTGCATTTACATTTGGAAGGAAGAGTGAGAGGATAGAGAACACTCCTGTCCTTTTCACTTCGGTCAAATACCAATAGTTGGAGAGCTCAAAGATGCAATATCCCTCCATTTCATCTTCTCCCCTAACTCATGCTCTGTGCCGCAGAGCAGTGGTCACTCCAGCTGCGAGAGATTTCATCAAATACCAATAGTTGGAGAGCTCAAAGATACAATATCCCTCCATTTCATCTTCTCCCCTAACTCATGTTCTGTGCCGCACCCCAATCATCCCACTGTGGTCACTCCAGCTGTGAAAGATTTCATGTCCTCCTTGAGATCCTTCAGAATTGCATTTCGGTTCATCCCAAACAAAAGAGGAGGCGAATCTGCCTGATCTGCTTCCTGTCTTGTTGAGGAACTGGGGAGCATTGGACTGGAAGGAAGCCCTGGATCTGACCCAGCACTCTGCTACTGCAGCTTGTCACGTCGCATTGTCCCATCCAAGAACTGATCCCATTCTAGGCTGAAAGCACTGTGGGGTTTTTGCCCCCACTAGTCTGATTGGAAAGTTTACCAGGATGAAGTGCTGGGTAGTTAAATATTTCCCTCTTGAATTTATTCATGGCCAGTTTGAATCCTTTTGTTTTATAAAGCTTGGCCCTTTTGCTTAAGTAGCTCTTCTTTCCTGTGGTTTTTATTTATTTCTTCTCTGATGTTCTATGAGAAAACCGTTACCCTTGTGTGCTCCCCACAGACGTACACATCAGCCTTCAGCTGCACTAGTAAGCAAAACAAATTGTTTAAGTCTTTGCCTGTAAGCTAATTTCTTTCTTCCCTCCTCCGCCAGTCATTGTCTATGTCTGGAGTTTGAACTCATGGATCTCAAAGTGAATGGCACTGCGCAAGGAACAGATTAGGTTAAGTCTCACTAACGCCTAGTACAGTGACATAAAAACTTCCCTCTTCCAACTGGAAATACTTTGTGAGATGCTTCCAAGTAGTACAATGTCTAAAATCAACCTGAAATGGACTTCATCAAATCACCACCTGGAAGGCCCCTGCACAAAAAACATTCCTGGTCCCCACGGCCCATCACCAGCCGGAGGGGATCCTTTCCCTCCCTGCACAACAAGATCCATTTCCATTTCCCCTGACAGTTACTTTGAGCCGTCCTCCTCAGGAAAGTGGCTTTTGGCCTTTACATTATTTCGGGGAGCCAGAGCATCCTTGCTGTGACAGCACGTTCCTCCTGAAGGCCCTCCTGGGACCCTGTCGGCCCCGAGGGCCCGTTTCCCTCAGAGTCTCGCTTCACCTTAGCAGAGCCTTTCACACCAGCTACCTTCTGACTCAGGAGGCACGTAGATCTCAAAGGGACTTGGAGAAAACCATCTGTGGTTTGCCTGCAGGTTCCCCACAAGGCCATGAGGAGGGACCGCCTTGGGCTTCCCGCCTGCCCTCACTGAACAGGGCTTATAACCCTTGCTTGGCCTCCATAGCCTGAGACATGTACCAGCGGGGGAACGAGATTCCCCCATTTACTGTTAAATTTCAGCATAACATTGCCGGCATGCAGTGCTGAGGCAGCGGTGGGCCAGGCCGGAGCCACCCCTGCCCCACGTGCGGGAAGGAGCCTTGCCAGTGGCGCCACCATTGTGCCTCTCACCAAACACTAACAGCTTTCCAGGGCATTCTGTTCGCCCTCACAAAAGACAGAGGCGTCACAGTTTTATTTCCCATGGTGTGCGTCGGTCGGCTCGTCAGAGCGGGTCACCCACCAGGCTCTTCGCTGAGGGTGAATGAAGGCATGAGGGCACGGGCTCAGGCGGGGGTGAGCAGGTAGGGAAGAGCTGCTCCTCCTCACTCTCCTCCTGCTACCGCCGCCCTTCTCCCCACAAAGGCTCCTTTGTAAAGGCAGCAAAGGCCCGGAGCAGAACAGGGGGGAGGGTTTCCTCTCCCTCCCGCTTTTGGAGGTATAACCTACCTCAGCTGTCACAAGATCTCTTTTCTGTCGAGTTGCATTAAACCCGTTTCTGGAAGAAAACAAAAAGCATCTTGTGTAATGAAAGCTCCCTGGAGCAACCTGAATAAGCAGCTCCCTGGAGAGAAGAGTTTCTCTCTGATTACTATCGCTTTATCAAAGAGGTCTTTCTTGGGTTAACATTTAAAAAGGTGATTTTTTTTTTTCTTTTTTTCTTTTCGTGGTCTCATTTTACAGAATTGGGCAACACTCCGATCTCTACTTGGTCAGGGAGATACCGGGAGCTTGCGGGGGAGATATAAATAGGCAAAATAGGCTTACATGACAGGATACAACTTGTAAATTGGCTTCGTATTTACCTGATGCTGCATGTGAGTGGCTGCAATTTCCCCCAAGTGTTATTTGAATATACTGTGGTGGTACTTTTAAGAGCAAGAGATGACTCTCCAGCTGTAGCTGACTTCAAATTTGTGATTAAGTTTAGAAACAAGGGTATCAAACTATAAAACATACTTAGTTTTATCAACAGTCCAAGATGGCATATCATTCAATGTGCAAGTGTGCTCACTAGATGTATTAGAGGTCATCAGGCATCCGAAGTTACATGCAACTGGATGCTTCCATTGAAATTGATGGCATAGTTCCCATTTAATTCAATGGGATCAGGAACATTCCCTAGTTTGGGTTTGTTTGGATTTCAGCTTCCACATGAAAACTTGTATTGAAAATGTTTATTTTAAGGCTGTATAGCACTTACTTTTTGTGCTTCAAATAGCAGCTAGGATTTTATCATGCAATTAAAACTGTAGAAGGATACTCATTTAATGTATTTTTCCAGTCATGAAATCATGATCTCATGCTGGTTTCATTCCATTATTCCTCTAAGCTTTCCTGAGACCATAGAAGTATCATTTTTCATAAGGACCTCCATTTTTCAAACAGAGGATCCATGCCCTTTATGTAAATTCTCTGAAAAGACTTGTAAACATTCTGAAAGTGTGTTTTACATCCAATGTACATGTACCTGACATTTTACATGTCGAATTCAAGGCTATATTTTATTTTCTAACTTTCACTGCGTCACACTCATTCATTCTTGCTCTGTTTGTAGGGCTTGACAAATAAGGAATAAAAACTTACCTTGAAGTTCTTCTCAAAAGAGAAAGCTTGCAATAAGATCCTGTAGATTAAAAAGTCATCAAGTTAAATGTTTTTTCTACAGCCTTACTCTGCACTTGGCAAACAACTGTTTGTAAAGTTTAGAACACCCCTACTGAATTTTGTTCTTTAAGATCCTAAGTTTTCCAGAGCATCTTTACACAAACTTTTTCTGTTTCTGAGGGATGTAGCATTACATGCTTTCCTTCCTGAGAGTCTGATTCTCTCAAGTACTCATCACCTGCAAGTTCCCATGGTCTCAGTTCTGCTACATGCTACCATGAAAAAGAGCAAAGAGTTCATAGTTCTTCAGAGGCCCAGATAAAAGGCAAGAGGTGCTCAGAGCTTCCCAGAATCAAACTTCGAGGGTGGTTACTTATAATCATTTTCTGAATGTTACTTTTAAGACTCAATTGTAAATCATTTAAAGTGCTACAGAGTCCATGTTTTGAAAACAAAACAAAGCAAACAAACTTCTTTCTCATATTGCCTTAGAAATCTTTATAACTGCTGCAAGAAAACTATCTACAAGATCCATTTGCATTACATAGAATATAGCATCATTTCTATAACCAGAAGAGCAATTATTTACCCTAGCATTCTAAAAATGCTTAAACAAACTGCAGGTGCAGCCTATTCAAACAAAATCATACCCCATTGAAAATCATTATTTACTCATCTGGCATTAACGGCAAGAAAGCCAAGAAACCTAAATTTCGTTGCTGTAACAAATTCAGACATAAAAATGTATCTTTAAAAAAAAAAAAAGCTATATTTTAGTTTTTACATCTGTGAGAGGGAATGGTGTTATATAGTTTTTTAACCTGTGTTTAAAACTTTTTTATTTACGAATTCCAGCAAGGGTCAAAAAAAATTGCTTTATAATAATGGAAAAAGAAGGAGCTCTAATATTAAAATATTTAGAAAAATCTTTTTAAAAGTTAGTATTACTACAAAAATGGAATAAAGTTCTTACCTTGCAAAGAAGACAGCAGTGAATGAAGCAAGAATATACTCCACGGTATCATTAAACTGAGCTTTCCCACAATGTTCATTTCAGTATAACTTAGTAATAGGGAATTTATCCAAATTAATGGCTTTGACTACGATGGCATCTTAGAACTATGTATTTCTAGTGCGTTTAAATCCTTTAAAAGTTAGATAGTCAGATGCATTATTTAAAATAATGCAATGCAAGAAAGGAAATGAAGAGGAGACATCAAGCTTGGTAGCTACACACAGCTTCAGGAGCTTTGCAAGTGTGGCACACAACTTTCTGGCTGCATGTCTCTCATTAGTAATGCATGGTAACTCCTCAGCAGAGTCTGTATTAGTTACACTTTCACTAGACCTGCGAGTATTACTCCTCTGTTGAATTGAATCGGCCCTTTATAACACAGCAGACAATGACATCGAAATGTTGCCGTGTCATGATGGTTTGAGATTTCCTTCAGTCGTCACACACCTTTGTGTGCTTTGAGGCTTGCGCAGAGTGCTGCCCTTTACTGCTCATTACAGTGAAGTATTTTTGCAAGACTCTGCAATGATGCTACTGTATAAATGATAACCAGATGGTTTTAGAGATTGACATATTAATGTTCCTTATCTGTTCTAAACAGAGACATGAACTTCCATTAAATAACACACCTGGATTTTTAAGAATATTTTAGATAGATTTTTGTGTAGAGTTTGCTTATATCACAAAAGAAGGCTTCCCAGAGGATAATTATATTTCATTTTTAATAAAACATGTTATGAAAATTTCGTACTAGCAGAAAGGAGAAAGAAGTCAACAGGACCAATGGGGTTTGTTTCTAATTTTCATTGAAATACAAAAACATAATTTCACCAAAATTAAAAATTATCATATTTAAAAATAGAAGAGTCTTACCTGCTTTATCCTAACATTAACAGAATCATTGAAAAGCGCAGTTTTAAAGACATACATAACACTAATTGAAACTGCTACTACTCATTCTATTTTGCAAAGCCTATCTTTTGCCTAACCCTCCGCTCTTCCTAGGATGTGCTTTGTGAGACCCTCTGTGCACGCTACAGAAGGTGGTTTTGGACCAAAATAAAACTTGTAAGTTGATGGCCTCTCTCACTTAAAAAGTTCTCCCATCATTTCTTCTAGCCCTTTCTCTTCCCTGCTCCCCAGCTGGACTAGAAGAGAAGGCAAAGGAAAACACTCAACCTCTCCAACCACAGACAAAGACAAAACCCTGTGTCCACCCAGCAGCCAACAGCACTCACACAGGTTCGGGATCACTGGCGGCCCGAGGATACTTACCACAAACCGATGTATGTTTTAACATTACACTGTGTTTGGAGTATTTCTTAAGAACTATTTTTATTACTGTTGGATCTGAGAAGCTGGCTTTCATATAATTTGCATTTCAAGAGGGTTTTTGCTCTGTTTTTAACTCCTGACTAGCTATGGGCGGGTCCCATGGACTGGCTCCTTATCTGCAGCTGGACTGCATCTCCCAGGTTAGCTTCATCTGCTCAACGTGGTCCAAAACCATTCCAGATTGCAAACAGAAGCAAAAGAAGTGAGTTCCTGATCCAAATTATACACTGATGTAGTCATACTCGGACTGTGAACTATTATGTGGGCACCTATCTTATAGGAAGTGGCAGAGGCTACTCCGCATTTCACCCTCTCATCAACCTGCTCTTAGAGGACGATGCCTTAGGTTGCTCTCAAGTTGAGATGAACCCAAGCATTAGAGCTTCCAAATTCCATTACCAGTCTCCGTGTTACCTTACTTTCAAGCTAAGTCTGGTTTAGAAACTGTTTCAAACTCTTCTGAGAAATTTTAAATATGCAGCTTTACAAATAAATCTTTACATTAACATAAATGAACTTTTTTGGTTTAACAGAAACTATCAAAAATAGCCTTTTTTTCTTTTTCTGTTTTGCTATAGCAAAGTTGAGGGAATATTTGGTGCATGTTAGTATTTCACAGTAGTTTAATTTCTAATATTTAAAAAGCAGGCCAAGCCTCATCAGCTGCAAAGGGACTTTGTAAGAGTTAGAGCAACAGGCTTCATTAGGTCTGGATATCTCTGCTCAAGGCAGGGTAGGAAACAGCACAGTCCCAGGCACACGAAGGACATCAGCTAATAAGGAAAAAGAATTATTCAGCCCGGTACACTGAACTGTAACTCAGAGGACTATATTAAGAAAGAGATACAAACAAATCGAAGCAAATTTTATCAAGGCAATGACACACATTATCTACACAAGTAGTAGAATACTCACAGATCGGGGCTTCTGAAAAATTTGAAGAGAAAAAATGCATTAGAAAATAATCACATCTGTAAGAAAACAAACACAGTACAGAACACACTGGTCTATACTTAAAAAATGCTAGTGTTATATTTTTAAGTTACAGATTTTTCCTTAAAAATAAAATTTAAACATTTGAATGTTAATATATTTGTATATTACAGTCAAAATTAATTTGCCCCAAATTTTCCAGTTTAACATTTGAGAGGACTTAATTTTATAAAGAGGTTACATAGTTTATTAGGATTATAAATAGTAGGTGAGAAAATGAGCGCCTTCAGTGCCACAGGTACAAGCTTGCCTTGGTTTGGAACTGGATCCACTGTCATCATTAACAAAACGTGGTACTTTTTAGAGCTCACACTCCAGCCTTCATTGAACTGGTATTTTCAACAAAGAATTCAAGTGAGGCCACATTTTGATGTGCACATCTGATCTTCTTACGGATTAGCATCAGTGAAACTACTGAAAGAGCTGGACCACACGAGGTTAGGGGCATTTCTTCTTTTCCAAGACCCACCTTCACAGCTGCTCAAGAACCTCGCTGAGGGCTTGACGATCCAGCTGTTACTCTTTCTTCTGTGGAAGTGTGCCTCTGGCCAGAGTGGATGCTTAATGATGAAAGCTTGATTGCCATCCCTGCAGAATCAGGACATCATTTTTATGAACAGGTTTTCTCCTGACACCTTCAAACTCCACGGCAGTTCTGCTTCCCCGATGACGTTAAGCCCTCTAGCGGGTGGTCAGTAAGTAACTATTTCGAATAAAAATCTTCCGCCACCCAGGCAGACACCAGCCCAATTCCATGAACATTTCTCATTTAGAAAGCAAATCTGTGGGGATGACATCACTCTACAGGATTAATGGGGCATTTTTATAGGATCAGAGTTCACTTCAGAAAGCATTTTTATTATGCTAAGAGTCTTTCGGTTGAAGAAATTACATGCAGATATCATCTCTGGATATATTAGTAGCAACGCGAGTTTTATTTTCAGTCTTTCTATAAAAGAACAGCAAAACAAAAATCCCCAACTGTTACAAGCTGTTCTATGGGCAGAAAAAAACTGATACATCAGGTCTCCCCATAACTGCAAAATCCACCCCTAAGGTTACTGGCATTGGGTACTGCACACCCCCCGGAGCTTCACACTCAGTAACTTGGTGTCCTCTTCCTTTCCCTGCATCCAACCACTCCAACCGCCAGGCAAGAATCAGTTTTGGACAGGCCACGGGGTCGGGTACCCATGTGCCAACTGGCAGGCCAGTACATATTTCCTAAGCAATGACTGAGCCATTGCTTTTCAGTCACCACACGAGCCAAACAACTAAAAGGCTTACTTTTCCTCAGCTAAAGCTAATTAATATCTATCAAGATGCCAGTTTTCACAAAACTCATAGGAATTCAAGTAATCAACTTTGAAGTTAGCCCTGCATAGCATCTTTTCCTTAGAAAGCCAGGCTAGGAGGCAGAACATCACAGTTTTCAGCAATCCAAGAGCTAGAATAATTTCTGAGCAACTCTACTAGAAGATGGAAACTCTGAGGATCTCACTGGACAAGAAATGGGTCAGATCTAAGGGTGCAGAAAAGGGCAACTGAGGAAAGCAAACCATGCATCTTGCCAAAGAGACAGCAAGTGTCTGGAATAGAATACCTTACTCACTTAGCGTAAGATAAAAAAATCCTGGTATGTAAATTGGTGATAGAATATACAACAGACCCCACCGCTCCAATAGGGGTGTGTGGGCTTGAATAAACGTTCTACTTCTATTCAGGTCATGTAATGCAGTATTTTGTGGCAGACACTGACAGCTAAAATGGGAGATGGATGAAGAATTCCTTTTCAGGAGGAATTTGCTCAAGTTACACATTTAACTCTTGAATAACTACACTTCAGTCTACAGAAAAGCAAAGAGACATCACAGCAAATATTAACATTTATGAAGAGCCACGAGCACTTACTTTCCTAAACTAGAGCAAAAGGGCAAAATTGTACTATTCTTTCCAATTCCCCAACCCAACTCACAAAACAAGCTGGTTTGTGTTGACAGAGTACACTGAAGTGACCTACCGTTAAGCAAGTGAAAGAAATACCACGTTAACAGAAAGCCCAACAGAAATCTAAAGTATTGAGGTGCTCCCGTAACAATTTCAGTGTTGGCATACAATGAGACACAAGAACACCAGGCTTTGAGAGCAATATAGCAGGAGCTAGGCTCTCAGTTGCTTAGACTCCAATGTTTCGTCCAGTTCCTCTCCAAGTTGGTTTTCAAACACAGGAAAGAACAGCCCATATCCGAGGCCTCAATTACTTGCAACTCTTCCAAGGGACAGAATTACCCTTTCCAACAACCTTTTGTTGGCACATCTCATGTCTTACTTGGAACTTTACTCTTCTTATTCTTCCCTGGGACATCACTTCCAGAATGCAAATCTTCAGTTTCAATGGATGAGAAACTCACTCCAACATTCCTTTTCACATTTGATACACACATGCCCTAGTGAGATCTTTGAAAATTACCGTCACATTTTCAGCTCCAGGTTTTTCCCACTTACTTCCCCAAGGACTTCAAATTGCCTCACCTAGCTCATGCATAACCAACTCTCTGGCTTCCAAAGGTATTTTTCTGGGTTTTTATTAAGTCATTTAATGTTGTTCTCCAGGTCTACATCTCTCTATGCTTGTACTGTGTGAACATGTAGTTGAAGGACGAATCATTTAGACCCAATTTTATTTGTAACACAAAATCCTTTTTATGTTTTACATTTACAAAATACTATTTTTGAAATAGAATGTATAGTGTTTGTTATTTAAAGACTAGTAAAGTTTCCTACATTGAGACATACTAATCCAGAAATCTCTGCCTCCCACCTATCTGGTATGGCAAGAGCTCAATAAACCTCCCTCCTCTGCCCCCATTAATTACTTTGGTTTTGACAACGTAAACTTTAAATGCAGATGTTAGCAGAGCTGCCTGCATGCCCACTTTAGCACTACATTGAGGCAGTTATCCTCAAGGGGGTAAATTCCTTGTCACTAACCACCAAGCAAGCACAAATGAAAGAAGTTCATGAGGATGGACAATACTTATTCCGTGGTGGTTGGAATGTCACTCTCAGCGCGGCATTTCAGGTAAGCATACAAGGGAAACAGAAGTCCTTGGCAAGAACACAAACCGCCAGCACTGAAGTCTATGCAGAAAGATGCTGTGTGTCCTGCATGACACTAGGGTGGCATACTACAGCAAGTCATGTAACACAAAAGTTACCAGCTAGGAATCAGATCCACACTCGTACGCATTATGGACTAAGTCTGTAACACACATTTTCAAACAGGAAGAACGTGGGCTACTCACATTGGTTCGTAATACCCTGAAGAGTGGCCACCCAAGTACTGCAAAAGGTCCATGCTTGTTTAGGTTTACCAAAAAGGCAAAGATTGAACTCTGCTTTGATGAATGGCTACACTGTTGCATGTACCCACAAAAAAATAGGATGTAAGCCTTCTTTATGTTCTCGTAACTACACATTTATCAACAGCAGAAAGCTTTTCTTTATTCCCAAGACCCTATCTATCTAGACTTACCTACTATGAAGGGATAAAAGAGAACTGCCAACAGCCCTCTAATTCTACTTTCATACCAATCAATTTGCCTATCTATCTTAAGTCAACACACAGTGAAAAAAAATCTATTGACTCACACAGGAAAACACAAATTAGAAACACGAAATTTATCAAATTTTCTTTATGTTCATTGACTGTCACATGACTGTAGAACAATTTTAACGGTAAGACTTCTGGTAGCGTGCACGAGCACCAGGTCCTCCAAATTTCTTGGATTCACAACGGCGAGGATCTGCAACCAGCAGAGTCCTATCATACTGGATTAGAATATCCTTGATCTCTTTCTTGGAAGCTTCATCAACATCTGTTTGAACAAAAAAAAAAAACCACACACCCTTCAGTTTAAGAAGTTTCACATGGAATGAATCCACATTAACATTTTTTGCACCAAAACTACCACAAGCCATGCATTTCCACTTAAGGCTAATACAACAATCAAAACAACTTACATTTTTGATAGTAAGCCACCAATGCTTTGGAAATTGCTTGACGGATAGCTGTTAAAAAAAGGTAATGGATCAGTAAGGATTGCAAATGTATTTACGACTTCAACACTAAGGGCCAGTTATCTGAGAAACTTGCTGTCTTGTTTTGTGCCAAATTGTCCTTTCCCTCCTTCATCTCCCCTCCCACGTACTCCACGTGACCTTTACTTTGGCAAATCCAAAGAAATCTGTGCCAAGAGGCCACCCACAGTCCATCTGTTGATTTGACAACTGCCAGCTAGCCAAGGAACTGTACGAGGGCAGTCTTCATCACCTTCTCTCCTGAGTACTAACATAGGTTCCTCTTCTACCTAGAAGCAGGCAACTTTCAACGTCCTTAGAAACACAGTTCTCTGAAATGCCTGCTTTTCAACAAGGACAAAATTGATCAGTGTGTTCAAAGACTAAGGAGGCAAAAGGGACAAGAGGACGGTATGAACAGTTCTAGCATACCTCAATAAAACAAGCCTGTAGTATAGTAACAAGTACAAGTAATAAGAACTCAAAACAGGAGTATGGGAGTAACTGTAAAGATGTTGCTAGGCTGTTATCTGTCAGAACATCAAGAGCAGGATTTTGATGAAAATCTGAATTTTCTGAAAAACTAATGCAATCAACTTTGAGACTGAAACATCTCTGCTCTTGACGCAGCTTCAGCTCCACTTCACTAACCTACACCCAAACTGAAACAGCAGAACAAATCTATCATTTGTAAAGAACAACTCTATCAACAGCTAATGCAAGTATGTTCTCAGTCTTCTCTGCAAGGGGAAAAAACTGCCTAGCCTTGCAGGTCAGCTGAAAAATGCTTCTGAACAACACGCAAATTTACAACTAAAGACAGAATTTCTACTGATAAATCCCCTTTTCCCCTCCCAAAATCTTTGTGTTCAGCTGCACTCATACTGTCCTGTCATACTACCAGACACAAAGATCGTTTCCTCACCTTTCCTCAAAATTTCATCAATTTACTTCATTCAACTTACTCTGGATGTTACAGCTTTGCACATTAAATATACCCAATAAGCTCTTATGAAAAACTACATTTGCACAGTGGAAAAAGAAACAGAACATCAAGATGTCAAGTTACTATTCTAAACTCAAGCCTCTTAAATATGTGGCTTGACCTGTTCTAGCCCACACCAGAGATCCCACACAAAATCATACCGTAGATTTGCGCTACATGGCCACCACCCTTTACACGAACCCTGATGTCAACACCAGCAAATCGTTCCTTCCCCAGGAGGAGGACAGGTTCAAGCAGCTGGGAAACAAAACACAGGAATAAAATTCACTTGTGATCAGAAACGACAAGGATTAGAGCTTGTAGTAGATCTACCAGATGTGAAATTATTGAATGTTCTGAAAAATGGAGCCTTGATTTTACAAGCACACACTCAAGTTAGGTACACCTCTTGCAGAGTTCCTTGATGTCTACTAGTACTGTTCTCAAATAAACTTACTGAAGTCTTAATATTTTTTTAAGTTTCAAAAATCTTAATAGCAAAGCATATGCACATGGGAATTAAAAGCAATGAAATAGTTTAAGTAGAATGCCATAACTACATCAGCATTAGAAAAATAAATCAAGTTTATTAAAATTGAAGAGCTGAAGTAATTTGTGAGTAGTTTTCTCCACTGTTTATTACACTTCATATTTACCTAGTCAGTTTTAGATTCTCTCAGCAGTGTTCAAACAACTTCCTTATCAAGTCCTAAAGTATCTTTTAAATAGGAGCATTTTAAGTCACCCATTTCAATTTTAAAAATGGATGTGAAGTGCTGAAAATACTTGACATATTTACATTAATATACATTAATCCAGTTAAGCAAAAAGCCCACCCTTCCCAACAAGACAATCACAGAAGGCTAGTTTTCTGAATTTTCATAAGTGTTTACATTTTAGGTAATCAGGTAACATACAACCAAAAATTTAGTACTGTCAATAAGGCAAGCAACTTTTCTTCATCCCCAAGCAATTATGTGTATAATGGTATTTTAACATCCAAGGTAGAAGCGATAGGGGAGGCTGGGTGGATGCTCACTTTATACTGCAGAGTTCTGGGCTCAATCATTTCCAGAGGTCTTCCATTCACTTTAATGAGGCCATTTCCTCTCTTGCAGTGGGCAACAGCAGTTGCTGTTTTCTAAAAATCCAAAAGTGTATTAGTACAGCATTTCATTTTTGCACTAGCAGTGTGAAGTGAATGTCGACTTAATTTTAACAATCTAAAAATCTTGGGTTTATACTCAAGATTAACATCTCACACTAAATAAAACAGTACCACTCCTTACATTCCCAGATATTGACTCATAGTATTAAGGCACCACCTTAATAAAATTGTATTTAGTTTATAGTTATAAATGCTACATAGTTGTAAGATTTAGTTATAAACGAGCGAAAGATACCCTCGCCATTCTGCAACACGGTATTTTTGCGGCTCATTTCCTCACAAGAGCC